GGTCGATTATGGAGATTGGCTTCATTCCTTCTTCCATTCTTAGGTATAACACAATCAATTTTTTTTTCGATTAACAAAATCAAGTTTTTAATTTATCTTTTACTTCTATGCTTATGCTTTATTTTTATTCTTAATTTAGGTATAAAGCAAATACATGCTTTAAAGTTAAGTCATGGCTTCGCCCGTGCGATTCTATGTTTGATCTGTCAGCACTTAACAGAATTACAGTTGAAGACATTGGAGGACCTGATTGCACTAAGGAAGGCACTCACCAGTGCGATTGAGAATGGCAGTTATGAATTTTTAATTGAAATGGTCAAAACTAATGCAGACTTGCTTGATGCTGCACCGCTGCTGGCGAATGATGAGACTATAAGTAGAAACTTTCTCATGGATGCTATTGAATTTCGTCAGGAGAAAATTGCTCGCTTTCTTATTGGACTCCCCCCTGGCAATGTATTTATCAATTTACCGGATTATTCAGGGGAGAACAATATATTACATGTGGCAGGTAGTTTGGCTTCTGATTCTCAACTTTCTCACATTTCTGGTGCTGCTCTACAGATGCAAAGAGAGATACAATGGTTCAAGGTACGCAATAAAAATCAATACCTTTTACTAATCATAAATTATAGTACTTAGAAATATATACAAGGATAGTCCAACCATATAAAATTCTCTAAATAACAAGTATTAAGAGCTGCAAATTTCCAAAAGTACATTAGGAGTTGAGTACTATATATATAGAACACAATAGTAGCTCCACTAAAAACAAAAATGTAATATGCTAAGGAAATCAACATTTGTCATCTTGTCATTGAGATGAAGTAGAAGCCAAAAACACTGCCTCACAGAATATTCCTTCCCATCTTCCGAATCTAAGTTCACTTGAGCCTCTTCTGATCCATTGCAGGATTCTTCTTCACTTTTTTGCTTAATTCTTTCTAATGATTAAATTAAATTAGATTTTACTATTATTTTACTTAGGTCATTAATTAAAGCCTTTTTTTTCCTTAAAAAATCCTGTCTATGCTGCTTTATTATATATATATATATGTGTGTGTGTGTGAATATAGGCCTTCACATTTAAATTATTAATTTTAAAATTGCAGGAAGTAGAAAGCCTGGTTAAGCAGCGTTATAAAGATGCCAAAAACAACAATGGTGAAACTGCTTACCAAGTTTTGGCTAGAGAGCACAAGGTCTTGCTTAAGGAAGCAGAGGATTGGATGAAAGGATTAGCAAATTCATATATAATTGTTGGTGCTCTCATCATTACCATAATGTTCGCTGCAGCTTTTACCCTTCCTGGGGGTAACGATCAAAATAAGGGATTTCCAATATTCAAAAACAAAACAGCATTTTTGGTATACATAATATCCGATGCAATCTCGCTGTTTGCTGCAGCTGCCTCAGTAATAATATTTTTGGGATTTCTCACATCACGTTACAA